GTGACTTGTGGCTGTTTATAAACATGCCAGAGAAACAGTTCTCAGCCATTGAATTAAGGTTGATAAATATACCATTTTCAACTGGTTGAGTGGCCACGTTCATGAATATATATTTGAGAAAGCCAGTTCTATGTAAGTAAACATCAGCGGAGGCAGCCCCGTGAAGCTGAGAGAGCCAAGGGAAACCTAAACAGAAACATGGGCTATGGAGTTGGGTTGATTCAGATCTCAGTGCCATCACACACACTGCTCCATGGCTGGCTTCTCTTTGGCCACTATGGTACCTGCCTCACAGTTGGTACCTTGTTACTGAGATTCAGTGCCAGAGAGGGGGCGCCTGGCGTGTTGATGCTTGGTGAGTGTGTATATGTGTCCTTTCTCCTCCGTGATGAATACATTAAGATTGACTTTGGCTTCCACTTGGTAAAAACTAACCAACAATTGATCTTGAATACCTTGAATGCCATGATTATTAAAATAAAGTCTGAAAAGTGATAAAGATTTTTAGCTAGTAGAATAAACTACCTTTAGGTGATTTTTATAATCCTTTATTAATAATACATTGTTTAAGTGGTATTTCAGAGCTTAAGTAGTAGTTTAATGAATTGTAGTTTAATTCATTGTGTCTTAAATTCTACCAACAAGATACCCTTAGTAACAGAAAAGTCAGTACTCTAAGGAGACTAGTGTAGAGTGGAGATATGTGCTCAAAATGGCAAGTAGGACATTTTTTGAAAGTCAGCATTGTATCTTAAAAACCACATGAACTTTCCTCTTTTCTCCATGAAAAATTTGCATAACTACCAGTAGAATATTTTACATGTCTTGCCATTATGAAAATGATGGTTTGGGAAGTTACACATCATTGACCCTTGACTTTCAGCAAGCTTGACCTACTCCTCCTACCCTTCATTCACCCACTCGTGGGAGAATCCCTATCCTAATACAACACCACAGCGGATGGTGAAGGATCTTGTTCTTAGTTCATAATTTGAGGCCCACACATTTGTAACTTACCCAAGGTTACACATCTACCTGGTAGGAGAACTGAGAAGTTCTCCCAGGAGGCGTCCCAAGTTGCCAGATCCAGTCTTCTCTTACTTCATTTCTGCTATAACCAGATAATATTTACTAAGAAGACGGTGTGTAATGAATTGTGCTGGGTTTGAGTTGATAACAAATAGAATTGTAAGTAGTTCTTTACCCTTGAGCAGTTTGGTTTGTCAAGTTGCTCACATGAAGTGAAGGTAAATAAGTATAAAAAGCTAAGTAAAGGGGGAGGGTATAGCTCAGTGGCAGAGTGCACATTTAGCATGCATGAGGTCCTGGGTTAAATCCCCAGTACCTCCGTTAAAATCAGTCAGTCAGTCAGTTAATAAACCGAATCCCCCCCCCCCCCCAAAAAAAGTGAAAAAAGGAAGGACCTTACTTTTTTAAAAAGGTGATACAAGGCAAGGAATGTTATAAGGCAGTTAGTAACTGATGCCCAAATAAGTGAGGGAGGTAGAAGTTATCCAGAGTTCTGAGAAAGAAGCATTCAGATTGGGCTGAAGACTATGGAAAGGCTTTGCGCAGGAGCAGAGACTTGACTTATGATAGTGTATCTCTAACCTGTTCCTCTGGTCTTTTGTTTACTGTTAATAATGGCTGAAAACATTATCTAATTGCAAGTTTGTCTTTTTTTGGAGTCCTCTGTTGTTTGGAAGGTATTTATATTTTTACAGATCAGCTCGAATAAATAATTTGATAATTGCATGTTTAAATTTCTACTCTTTTTCGTCCTTGATAGTATTAAGAAAATGATCTGACACTAACCCTTAGATGAATTTTATTTGATTTACAAGTCTCCTTTTTCATTCCTCTTAACAGCGTATTATTCATTCATTTAAAAAAGTTTGGAAAGATATCCATAATAGGGTCTAGTTGACAGTTAGTAATAAGCAGAAAAGAAAATGTTTATTTTGGAAGAGAATCAAGTTCAGTTGTTGATGGGGTTAGGACCAGGGACAAAAGACCCAGAGGAGGCTGACACCAGGGAGAGACACGGTGTCCTTACGGAGTTGACATGTGGGCACAGAGAGGACACAGACGAGTCACACAGGGTCAGCCACGCAGCTGGGCACCTCCTTGAGTCATACACTTTTAGGACTGGAGGGGATTTCAAAGACCGTTTGATCTGACCTGCTTCATTTTACAGATGAAGAAATAGTCCAAAGAGGCTAAATAACTTGCTCAAGGTCACTCATGAAAGTGACTGAGCTGGGATTCCTCCCACCTCCCCTAAGGCCTAAGAGCACGAAACTCTGGGCTAGGAGGAATGTTCCTAATACGTTAGATAAGGACCCTTTGCTGCTGCTGTTCTTTGTAGTACACCATCGTGGTTTGGAGATGGTGAGATTAATTTATCTGATGAAGGAAGATATGTTGTGTTAACACACAGCACATCAGCATTTCTCAGCCACTTGTGAAGCATGCCTTCTCTGATGCGTTCTCCCCACTTTCCAGGTAGCCTCACTAGCCAAGAACAATTACATTGAGCTTTATTTTTTGTCGTTTATTTTACAAGAGTAATAGATATACTTGTCCTTTTTGCAAGCCACAGAGGGCTATTGATGAAGAATCACCCTTTCTGAGCACATAGATTGATACAGATTGATACAGCTGTATTCTTGAAAATAGATACATATCCTATATTTAGCAAAATAGATGGCATTTTATAGCCATATGCCTGTCATTGGGTTTGGTGTTGTGTGTAGATACCAAAGGTAGAGCCCAGTTCTCCTCCTGGAAATTGGAAAGTCCAGCTGGAGAGGCCAGTTATGTGCACTTATAACCTCAAGTGTACCATGACTAAAATGAGACCCTGGAATCCCACCGGCTCTCATTCCCCTGTACCTGTTCCTCCTATGTCATTTAATGGCCCCAGTGTCTGTTCAGTCACTCACACTAGAAATCCTGAAAACCTAGCAATCACCATTGATTCTCTTCCTCTTCTTCACTCCCCTGTCCAGTCTGGTAGCAAATCCCTGTAAGACTGCTAGTTCCCCAGATAAACTGCTGACAGACTCCTGTTCATCCTTTAAGACCCTGCTAACAATGCTTCTTCATGGAAGTCTTTCTTCGTATCTTCCTAGGAAGAATCAGGTATTCCTTCAGTGTAGCTGTAGCTGACAATACATTTCTTTTTTTAAAAATAATCAGCTGTAGTTCCTTGAAGTTGGGAAACTTAGCTTATTTCTCTTTGTAAATCTAGTACCAGGCACATTAGACCCAATACATTTCAAAATCAGTTGTTTTTAAATCAATGTATTGAGTGGGAGAATTACTAATTTGTGGTGTTTATGAAACATCCCAATGAAGTAAGGTTGGAAAGGTAGGCAGAGACCAGAACTTGAAAAGCCTGAGTGCCGCAAAAAGAAATGAGCAGTTGTAGCTGGACACTTCGGTCTGCAAGGCCTCTGCAGGTGTAGCCAGGTGTTGTCCTGTTCCAGCCAATAAAAACTGAAGGGGAAGGTGCAGTTTCCAAGAAGTCTCCTTAAAAGAGGAGCGCGTCTTCCCTTTCTCTCTTCTCTGAAATTTAAGTGACTGGGGCTCCCACAGCCATCTGAGAATAGCAGGACCACATCCTAGGGTTGGTGGACTAGGACTCTGGAAGAAGCCTTGGCAAGAAGGTAGATATTCCAGGAAGAGGAATAGGATGAAAGGACACATTAAAAGATCAGATAGAAGGGGATGAGCTGCCAAAGGAGACTGAAAAGGCGTCACCAGAATGATGGGAGGAAAACCAAGAAGGTGGTTCAAGAAGAAGGAACTGGGCGACCGCTCCCAATTAAGATAGCAGCCAGGAAAGTGGACTCAGAGGCCTTGGTAAAGCCACTGAAGTGGTGAGGGCAGAAGTGGTATTGGAGCGGGCTGAAGGGCGCAAGGGCGAGTAGGAGATGACTCTCTAAAGATACTTGCCCTTTGGAGAGAGACAGGAAATTCACAGTAGAGTGACTCGCTGGAGGAGGGTGAGGAGTGAAGGGAAGGTTTTCCTGAGGTACTGGAATATGTTTATATGCTGATGGGAATAATCCTCTTGAGAGTAAAAGAGAAAGGAGGCAAGGTCTTGAGAAGGTGAGTTGATCAGATCCAGAGCAAGTGGACAGAGATTGAATGTTTGCGAGGAGGAGGGACAGATCGTCTTCTGTGGTGAAAGGAGTGCAGGAGAAAATGGGCATGTGTGTGGGTAGGTTTATAGATTTGAGATGCAGACATGAGGGAGCTCCTATCTAAAGCTTTCCATTTTCTCCTGAAATACTGAGCAAGGTCATCAGCTCAAACCTCACAGGTATGGAGGTCACCACCCCCCATATCTTGTCAGTCTCTTCTGTCTTAGCTTGTGTTCTTCTGTGCTGTGAGAAGAGTTTCCCATGTTTTTGGATGGATCATGTAGCTGCCTTAAAATCCTTCAGTGCCTGCCCTTCCCATGGGCCAGCTCCCTTTCCCAGCCCCATCTCTCTCCAGTTACTGCCTGTGCTCCAGCCAAGCACTTTGAACATGCTCTGTGGGCATCGTCCTTTTCTCCCTACCCAGTGAACTTGTCCAGACCCAGTTCTCGTATCACATCCTTTTATGTTTTTGTTTTGTTTTTTTAAATAAAAGTACTGGGGATTGAACCCAGGACCTCATGCATGTTAACCATGTGCTCTACCACTGAGCTATTACCCTCCCCCCACCACAACCTTTTAAATCGCTTTGATTCCCCTTCCTCCTCCACAGGCCAGAAACTATAGCTTTTATTTATATACCTACATAACTGTTCTATTGTAGCTTATTCACCTGAATTGAGCACAGTGTCTGTGGTCTAGGGCAGGCACTGAGTGAATGGATGGATTTTGATTGCTTTACCTGTTCCTTTTACAATTCTTAAGGAAATTAAAATGAAATGAAAGTTAATATACTTTCAGTATTTGATACAAAGAAGACATTATTTCTTTTTCTTTTCTTTTTCTCCCTAGGTGGTTCTGGAATGGAGCCAGGATCAATACCACGTTTTATTTGATTCCTACAGAGACAATATTGCTGGGAAGTCATTTCAGAATCGGTGAGAAAAGATCAGTTGTGGAGAGCAGCTCATATGGGCTTAAATGATGAGTCATGAAATCACCCACACTTTAAATATAGCAGCTGAAGGGGGTCTTTTCCAAGTTGTAGGAATGGTTTAGCTTCCTCAAGACTACTCCCATGTGAAGGAACCTTGTAGTCCACCCTCATGTTTTATGGATGAAAAATTTAGTTGCCAAAGAGTAATCTGGCCTGCAGTACATGAGTTCTTTAAATTACATGATCTCGTTTTATCCTTGCCCCAGTTCTGTGAGGTAAAGGTAATTCCATCCCGTCGGGCGAGGAAGCCGGGCAGTTACTCTGCAGCCACTTCTGAGCCCCACCGGTGTTCTTCTGTTTACATCACCGTGTCAATCAGGGCCACTCCCCTGGTATCCACCAGGACTGGACCCACCATCCCGGTGGTCACCACATCTTGCTGCCTCGCTGTCGGGGAGGAGCAAACAACCCCATAGGTTGGATCTTTTTCTCCTTAAGGCCAAGCTTCTTGATGCAGCCATTCTTGAATGCGGCCTCCACCTTTCTTTCCCTTGGAGACTTTTTTCCTCCCTCACAAGACAGACCTCAGAGTGGAAGCAGTCTTTTCCAACATCCTTCTTCCCTTCTTGCAGCTAAAATGAATCACAGGCTGTTTTCATTTTTTTGTCTGTAAAGCTGTTACTTACATTGTTTTATATTGTAAAAGTAATGTAAGTCTATGGTTGAAAATAGTTCAAACAATACAGAAAAATAAGAAATAAAGTCTCTCTCTGTTTCAGTCTGAATTTCCCTGACCTAGAGGAACCATGGTTAATGAATTTCTATTTTGGATTCTTCTAACGACTGTCCTTTTAACTTAAAAAAAAAAAAGAGTTGTCTGCTTTTTGATTTATTTACTTTACGCAGTATCTGTTGACTTCTTTCCATTGTAATGGTGCACAGCTATTTCACTGCAGGACAGGGAACAGGAGGTGACCAAAAGCAAACGTGGGGTAGCTAACAAGGGGGGTTAACCTTACAAAAGACCTTGGCCTAAGTGTCGGCTGTCAGGGGCCATACATAACCAGACAGTTCTCACTGTCCATTGTTCCTTGAGGATAGATAGGTCCCGTAAGTTCCCCTCTTTACTGTCACCAAACCAGAAAACCTAATGAAAGTATAAGTAGTAATTGATGTTGACTGGTGCGTCTTGACTGTTTTCTGGGAGCCTCTAGACTGCATTGGCAATTCTTCAGGAGCCCTTTTCCCCACTTAGAAGCTCTCCTTGTCCCTCCATTTACTTGTGGTTTTATTAAATTAGCAGTTTTTTTTAAAAAGCTGTGCTAATTAGATGTAGATGTGTGCACTATTATAGTTCTGAACATCTCAGGGAAGGATTGTGAAATTCCTCAAGTTAACCTAGAGCTTTACTCTTTACTTTGGTCGTTAAAGTGTCCTGTGTGTAAATAGCATCCCTGTGTTTGTTCCTTCAGTTAAGACTGAATCTTTGAGCCTTACTCTGTTTTAGACCCAGATCTGACTCTCAGTGATAAAGAATTTCACAGTCTAATAGGGTTGATAGCTTGTAAGCAAGTACCTGGTGAAGTAGGGAAACTATAGATCTTTCCTTTAATTTTAACACAACAGTTTCCAAGACTCTGAGGGTCTGTGAAATCAGAACTATTTTTATAACAACACTAAGGTGTTATTTGCCTTTTTTTTTCTTACTGTGTTCAGATTTGTGCTTATTGTGTAGAAGTAGTGGTGGGTAGAATTGCCACACCTTAGCACGAGTCAGCGTGTTCTTCACCACCACGTATCTGCAGAGGGAGGAGAGAAAAGCTGGAGTCACTCAAGAATGTTCATGATGAAACAGTAACAGTCGTTAATTTGGCTATATGTTGACCCTGTGAGCACACGTTTTTTATTTAATGCTCTGGGTGATGCAACTGGAAGCACACCTCAAGCACCTGACTGCGTGGTGATTACCTTGAGGAAAAGCCCTTGGCATGGTTGGAGCTGTAGCCTGAACTAGCTGTTCTGTCTCATGGGACACTTGTTATAACTCAAAAGGACAGATGACGGTGTCATTACTCAGACTTGGTTATTTGGCAGGTATTTTCTTGACACTGAACAAGTGATCCTGTGTTTGAAGGGAAAGAACTAATAATATTTGTTGCCAGTGGTGAAATTTGAGCTCTTAAGTCAAAATTAGAATTTTGGAAATCCTTTTTCCACTACCGGGGGTCTAACAGCTTCGCAATATTGGAAAGACTTCTCCAGTTAGATTTGTGGCATTAACCTCAAAATTGTATTTGTTAGTATTATGTAAGAAAATTAAGGAAGTATATCACCATTTGTCAGAGCTGCTTAACGCAGTAAGCTGTTATTTTTTCCAGGTAAACAATACACTGATGTTGCAGAATCTTGCATGGGTGAAAGCCATTCAAAGTGCAAGAAAGACCAATGGATTTTAATGTAAAAGCACATAAAGTTCATTAATGTGGTTCCAGATTCCACATTGCAACTAATTTTTGAGAAACTACCACATAATTTTGGTGTAGTATCAAAGAAGAGTATCCACTATTATTTGAAACAGCAATTAAAACAATCCTTCCCTTTCTAACTACATTTTTGTGTGAGCCTGGGTTTTCTTCGACAAAAACAGCATGTGGAAACAGATTGAATACAGAAGATTTAAGATGCTCAGCTGCTTCTGCTGAGTCAGTTAAGGAGATTTGGAGAAATGTAAAGTCATTTCTCTGTTTTGACTAAAATTTTTTGTTATTTTCGAAAATACTGTTATTTTCATTAAAAATTTATTTATGTTAACATGTAAAGGGATTTATTGTTTTGAAATGAATTAAATATTTTTTAAATGTCTGATTTATTTTCAAAAATGGCAAGTGTGGATAGTTATAACCTATAAACAAAAGCTTTGGGGGGTCCTTAATAATTTTTAAGAGTGTAAAGTATCCAGACACTAAAAAGTATCCATTCTCTTAAAGTAGTGGTTGTCAAGCTTCAGTGTGCAGCAGAATTCCACAGAGGACTTGAGAAAGTGCAGCCTCAACTCACCTCTAGAGTTTCTATGTCTGCGGCTCTCAGAAGGGTTCAGAGACTTTTCATTTCCAACAAGTTCACTGATGGTACTGAAACTGCTGGTCTGGTGACCATGCTTTGAGAACTGTTGCATTTAATGGCTTCTTAATGAAACATAATTTTCCTGCTTCTCCAGTTTTTTCTTTTTCTTTTAAAAAAAAATTCTTTCAATTTTCCAATTTTTATTTTAACGACACTGATTTTCTTAAGAACAGCTCAAAATGGCCTTTTAATTTTTTTTTAACTCTAACATTTATTGAGTACTCACTCAGCCTACTGGCTACTGTGCCTGATGCTGTGTTGGGTGCTGATGGTGCGCAGATGTGAAGATCTCTGCCCTGATGGAGCTTTAGAGCCTCTAAGAGGAACACTAACTCAGAAAATGCAGATACTGAGGTCAGCTGTTTCAATCCATCACTCTTGTTCTCTTTCTGAAGAGTGTGTTTGTGTGTTAAATACTTCTTCTCCTAATTTTACATTGCATTAAAATATAGCTTGATTTTTTTTATGTAGAGATTTCAAAATTATTTAATTTTTTGATGACAAGAAAATAGATCATATATAAAATCATGTGTTCTAATATACATATATATGTATTTAAATTTTTGTTTGTTTTTGGGGGTGAGGTAATTAAGTTTATTTATTTATTTTTAGAGGAGGTACTGGGGATTGAAACCAGGACCTTGTGCATGCTAGGCATGTGCTCTACCACTTGAGCTATATTTTAAAATAACCACAATGTTTATAGGAAGTTTTCATTTGTTTCAGTGTTTCTCATGTCTTTTTAATGTTGTTTGCTCTGAATGAAAAAGAAGAATCCCATTCTGTATGTCAGTAACAAGTGAATATATAAATTATCTACTGCTACTAATTGTGAGGCATTAAGTTGGTCTGGGGCTCAATTTTATCCTCTCTAAAATGTAGATATTAGATTAAGTGTAAAATCTCTTCCAATTTTGGTTCTAAGATACTATTTAAGTTCTAAGTTTTCTTACCTACTTTATTGAATGTAGAGCCAAGGACTGCTAAGCACCTTTATATTCACTTAAATTAGTGATTAAAATAAAAGATGTATCACTATCACCACGGCTTTGGTTCTGAGTCATAGGTGACTGACTGAGTCACATCTTTAAAGCTCTAAGGAAGGCTTCCTTTTCATCTGGGAACTAAGATAGTAGTCTGCGGTTAGAACAGGACTCAAACTCACTGTGACCATGTCTAATAGTAGAAAAACAACTGACTCACTGACCAGGGGCAGATCACACGGTCTCCTCAGGGATGTCAGTTTAACACCAGAGGATTAAATCGATCATGAAATACAGCCTTACCAGAAGAGCAAGGAAATTAAAGCATTCTATACTTGTGTTGTTTTCCTCAGTTGAACCTGTATGGATATCTCTTGATTCTATTTGAAAATCTTTAATAGCAGATAATTATCTTTATGGGAAAGCTTTGGAATGAGCACATTTCCCCCTCTTTTTAAAAAGCTTTTTCTTTGGGGGAGGGTATAGCTCAGTGGTAGAGCGCATGCTTAGCATGCGTGAGGTCCTGGGTTCAACTCCCAGTACTGCCATCAAAATGAGTAAGTAAATAAACCTAGTTACCTCCCCCTAAAAAATGAGCAAAAACACCACCTAAAAAGCTTTTTCTTTCTAAACTGTGTTACTTAAGCAATTTTTTTCAAGTTAAATTTTAGTCTGACCATAGACTACTTGTGAAGTTAGGAGTGAGGTGACTTTGGATAATTACATGTGGGTAATGTGAAGTATTTTTTTTTTTTAATGGAAAAGACTGATGTTTATGTTGAGGGAATGAACTAATAGTTGTTTAGTCAGTAAATGCATATTCAACCCCACTCATGTACCAGGCACTATTTCTAGGTATGTAGTGAGGAACAAGAGGAAATCATTGATTTCATATGGAACTGGCATTTTAGTGAGGGGAGCTTTTTAAATTCTTATTATTTTTTTAATTGAATGAACAATCCTTTAAATTCTGTAGTTCTTTACAATTTTCAAAAGTTTCACATACATAATTTCATATAACCCTAAAATAACCCTTTTTCCCCAACCTCTTGCCCCATCCCTCTCCCCACTGGTAACCACAAGTTTGTTCTCTGTACCTGTGAGTCTGCTTTTTTTTTTAACTCTCTAGTTTATTTTTCTACATATAAGTGATGTCATACAGTATTTGTCTTTCTCTGACTTATTTCACTTAACATAATGCCCTCCAAGTCCATCCATGTTGCTGCAAATGGAAAAAGTTCATTCTTTTTTATGGCTGAGTAGTGTTCCATTTAATATATATCCCACATCTTCTTCATCCATTCATCTGTTAATGGACACTTAGAGTGCTTCCATGCTTTGACAATTGTAAGCAGTGCTGCTAAAAGTTAGTGTTTTTGTTTTTTTCAGATATAAGCCCAGGAGTGGAATTTCTGGGTCATATGGTAGTAGAACGGTATTTTTTTGTTGTTGTGTTTTGAGAATCCTCCATCCTCTTTTCCAGTGGCCACACCAATTTACATTCCCACCAACAGTGTATGAGGGTTCCCTTTTCTCCACGTCCTTGCCACCATTTGTTATTTGTGTTCTTTTTTGGTGATAGCCATTCTGGCAGGTATGAGATGGTATCTCTTTGTGGTTTTGATTTGCATTTCTCTGATAATTAGCAATGTTGAGTACCTTTCCATGTGCCTGTTGGCCATCTGCATTTCCTCTTTGGAAAAATGTCTATTCAGTTCTTCTGCCCAATTTTTAATCAGGTTGTTTGTTTGATGTTGAATTGTATAAGCTATTTATATATGTTGGATATTAACCCCTTAGAGATCATATCATTTGCACATATTTTCTCCCATTCAATAGGTTGTCTTTTCATTTTGTTGATGGTTTCCTTTGCTGTGCAAAATCTTTTCAGTTCAATTAGGCCTCATTTGTTTAATTTACTTTTGTGTCCTTTGCTTTAGGAGACAGATCAAAAAAAAATATTGCTGTGATTTATGTCAAAGAGTGTTCTGCCTACAGTCTCCTCTAGGAGTTTTATAGTATCTGGTCTTACATCTAGGCTTTTAATCCATCTTGAGTTTATTTTTTGTATACGGTGTAAGGGAATGTTCTAATTTCATTCTTGTACATGTGGCTGTCCAGTTTTCCCAGCACTGCATATTAAAGAGACTGTCTTTTCTCCATTGTATATTCTTACCTCCTTTGTCATAGATTAATTGGCCATAAGTTTGTGGGTTTACTTTTGGGCTCTCTTTCCTGTTTCATTGATCTATGTGTCTGTTTTCATGACAGTACCATACTGTTTTGATTATTGTAGCTTTGTAGTATAGTCTGGAGTCAGGGAGTGTGATTCCTCCAGCTCTGTTCTTTCTCAAGATTGTTTTGGCTATTTAGGGCTTTTTGTGTTTCCATACAAATTTTAAACTTATTTGTTCTGTGAAAAATGCCATTGGTAAGATTGCATTGAATCTGTAGATTGCCTTGGGTAGTATAGTCATTATAACAACATTAATTCTTCCAAACCAGGAATACAGTATATCTTTCCATTTATTTGTGTCTACGATTTCTTCCGTCAGTATCTTACAGTTTTCTGAGTACAGGTCTTCTACCTCTTTCGGTACGTTTATTCCTAGGTCTTCTTTTTTTTTTTTTTTTAACTTAAGAATGTGAACTATATCCTACATATATATCAGTTCTTAAAGTGAATTTCTGAATCAACATGATTGGCATTACCTGGGAACTTGTTAGAAATGCAAATTCTGGGGCTCTACTCCAGACCTAGTGAATCATAGACACTGGGGCCAGAGTCCAGCCATCCGTTTTACAAGTCTTACAGGTGATTGTGATGCCGTCTAGTGTTTGGGAACTATTGAGATATAGACACTTTCAGAAATGGACCTAGATGAGGAAGCATCTGCGTATAGTCACAGTAGGGAGAGAGAGCCTGAGTATGTGTGGGAAAGAGGAAATAATGAAGCAGAACAAAGAATGCTTGGTACATTTCTGTCTTCAAGATACTTGGTCTAGTGGAAGATAGATGTGCATAAAAAGTAGTACAGCACAGTGTGCTAAAGATTCCTTCGAGTACCAAGTACAGTGGACATTGCATGTTAAGCAGTACATTTTCTTTGTGGGAGGTGAGGAAAGAGGGCGCTTGGGGAATGAGGAAGTGGTTAAAAGCATGAAAGAAAGGATATCCTAGGCAGAAGGAGAAGCATGTTCAAAGGCACGGAAGCCTGCAAATTCTTATCCTGTTTCGGTAAGGGCATACAACTGGAATATCTACAGCTCGAGGTACAGATTATGAAGTTTAGATTTTATTCTGCAGGAAGTGGTGTACCTTGATGGGAAGGTTGGTAGATGCTCAGCTGTCACATGTGCCTGAGTATGAGGTGATTCCTCATTTTCCCCGTGAAGCTCTGAGTCCCCTGGTACCTCTTTGACCTTCCTCTCCTCTTATGCTCTTCCTTTTGTTCCTTTTGGCTCTGCCATACTGGCCTCTAGTTCCTTTACTATGCCACACAGGCAGCTGCCTCAGGGCATTTGCACATGGCGTTTCTCTTCTCTGGGCTTTTCTTCCCCCAGTTGCCCATGTGGCATGCTTCCTCACTGCCTTCACCTTTGTACTGAAATGCCACCTTCCAGTAAGGCCATTTCTGATCTCCTTATTTAAAACTGACCCCCAACCTAGACATACTTTGTATCCCCATTTTCTACTTTATTTTGTTTGTAACACTGAATATCATCTAACTTTATTTATTTGGTTTATTTCCTGTTTTCACCTCTCTAGAATGTAAGCTTCGTGAAGGCATAGAGTTGAGTTTTATTTTATTTACTGCTGAGTCCCCAGCACCAAGAATGGTGCCTCTCACACACTAAGTGCTCAGTAAATATTTACTCAGTGATTGGATAAGCACCCCTTTCATCCAGTCATCCCACTTCTTTCAAACGAAGAGTGGTTGTCAGTCTATTTTTTCCTTCCGTAATTTGAAAGATTTATCCACCAAACTGCATTTATTTTTCCATGAGGTAATTACCCTTGTGGCCAAAACAAAAGTTGTCATGTTTTGGTTGGTCTTGGAGCCTTTTGTGCTTCCAGGGGCCAGATCCTGTGCACGGACCCTGAGGAAGACTAAAGGAGAGTAAGCGTGGGTCCTTGGCCTAAAAAGAAAACCTGTACCATTTCTTGGAAAAGCTCAAACCTGAAACAGAATCATCTAAAATATGTCATGTATCACTGTACACTCTTGTGTCACAGGCCTGGAGCAGACTTTGAAAGATGGGTAGGATTTTGGTAAGTTGATGTAGGAAAGAAGAAGAAAGCCATAAAACCTGAATAGAAACACCAAGAATGAGCTTAGACAGGATACTCAAGAATTAAAAGCCTGCCTGACTCCTTATATTGAGGATAAGATAATAAGGGGAAAATCGAGCAGGTTTGGGAAGGTCTTCAATGCTAGTGCCTCATGTGAATCACTGAGTTCCTGTGTGCGAGGTGGGCACTCTTCTAACCCACTGGGAACTTTAGGGAACAAAACAGGTAAGTTTCCTGCCACAATAGAGCTTACATTCTGGGGTGAGCGGCATGTGGGAATTACCAGTATATGTATTATGCTAGTTATTTAATACGTTAGGTGATAATTGCTATGGGAAAAAAAAGCAGAGCAGGGCAGGGAGGATTGGGAGGCACCAGGCTTGGGAAGCCTATAGCTTTAAATAGGGCTAGGTCTTCATTGCTGACTGCTGCTTAATTTTTTTTTTTTTTTGGTAATTTTGTTTAAGCTTCTGAATTCTTTTCTTTTGTTTGGCTGCATTTGTATCCCAGCTTCCTCATTTGCTAAACTAAGAACATAGCAGTTTAAACTGAGTTTCCAAGGCCTCCCCCACTGTCTTAAAAGTTAAGTGATAGTAGCCTCTTTATAGGGTGGTTGTGATGATCCAACGATCCAAAACTACGTGAAGTGTCTAGCATAACGCAAGTCACAGAGAAGGTCCTTGATAAGTATGTATTAGTGCCCAGGCTCCAGTTTGAAAACAAGCAATGCTGTGATATATGCCATGGTTAGATTACCTTTTTGCTGATTTTTTTCATAAACTCTGAGTTTAAACCCTGTTTTGCTCTTATTCTCAAGTATACTGAAAGAATGCATATAAGCTGGAGGATTTGTCGGTTTCCCCTAGGCTCTGTCTGCCCATGCCGATCGACGTGGTTTACACCTGGGTGAATGGCACAGATCTTGAACTGCTGAAGGAACTGCAGCAAGTCAGAGAACAGATGGAGGAGGAGCAGAAAGCAATGAGGTAAAACTGATTGTTAAAAAACAAAACACGGAAAGTTCTACAATTACAAATAACGGCACATTTCAGAAGGGTAAGGTGGTGTTCACATTGCTATTCAAACAAGAATCTGGTTCTCAAATTCATGCCATTATGAGATTTTGGCAGCCATGCATCTGACCCTTGTTTCTTGGTGCTTAAGGAGGACTCAGCCACTTTGGCGAGATCCTGGCCTCACTCTGTTAGGTGGGAGTTTCATGAACATGGTGCTCTGGGGATGCCTTGGTCTCTGAAGAGCCTAAAGGTGGAGGAGCCTCTCAGCGGAGCCCTGGGCTTCCTGCTCACTCAGTCTGAGTCCCAAGTGTGGTAGCTTCATGAAACAAGGTTTATTATGCAAAATAGCTGCACAGTAAGGTGGATTATTCCTTGAAAATGAAACAAACCTACAGAGATAACTTTTTTTTCCATTTGATAAAGACAGTGAAAAGTATCCTTCTGTTACCTGTTTTAATATCAGTACAGTGTGGAACTAGAAGGCTTGGTAATTTTTTAAAAAATATGGAATTGTGATTATTTACTTTATCTGGGAAAAGTACAGCGGGCTTCTGGAGAGCCTTCCGAGCTGGGTATCTGGCTGATGAAACTTCCCTTTTGATTCCTCAGGAGTATTTACCAAGAATTTCCCCATTCACTTCTTTGTAAATGTTACGGATGCACCCATCGCAGGTCATTTGCCATGTTATACTGCAACAAGTTGTCTCTTTCTCTCTGTTAGAGAATTTCACCTCCCCAGTGCATGAAAATGACTTTGACGCCTGGTACCATGTTTTACTAGTAAAATGTAAACGCTTGTATTTTAAGTAAACCTTCAGTAGTACTTTGGGAGGTACGTGATAGTATTTGCTGATCATATTTCATTAAAACATATCATTTATTGTGCATCTTAAATGTTACAAGCTTTATAGTACTTCCTAACTTACTAGTTAGTTCTGGTGGAGTAACCAGGAAAGTCATCCCTCTGAGTCACATGTAAGACTAGCACCAGTCCATGCATATGTAATAAAATACATTTGCTTTCACTAGAGAAATCCTTGGAAAGAACACGACGGAACCAACTAAGAAGAGGTAAGCATTTTTTCCTGTTAGGAACCGAAATTGAAGGATTGAAGTGAAACATCCAGGTTTTTCTCACTTGTTTTTGTTGCATACTCAGTATTTGTTACTTATTCTGCTGCTTTTGTTCAGTCCCTCTTCTGCTGGTTTTTGACACCCAACTTAAGTGCATCCATTTGATGGGAAATTTTGCAGTGTTAAAGGCAGAATTGATTGAGAACTCTGGTTATTTGGGTTGTAGCCAACCAAAACTTTATCATTTCTACATGCATTAGGTTTCTCTGTTGTTTCCATTAATCTGTCTTAGCATGCTGTTATTTTGGCCCACTTAAAATCTAACTTATACCCAGTGTTTTCATTTATAGAATTTAAAATTCATTATTTAATTATGTGTTCAGTGTATGTTTCCTTATCTTTAAAAGCTATCATAGTTCTATGTCTTATATTTAGGGGCTTGAGAAGGAGATTTAACCTAATGACAAAAAATCAGATATATCCCTCTTGATTTGAATCATACCTGACTCTGATAGGTCCTTAAAATAAGGCCGTCTCACTGACAAGCAGAAATCTCTGTTAACAGCCACTTCCTCACTTAACCATTAGACTTACAATAAAAGAGTTGTTTTCTCTTGCTTTTTTTTGAATATTAAATTGCGCAATTTTGTATATTGTTTATTTACAGGTCATAGCTCCCACTTTGTGAATTCCCTAGCTGTGTCCTTTGCCCATTTGTTTATTCTAGGTATTCTTATGTTTAGATAGAAGTATTTCATATAAATTCATCTTAGAATGTTTTCACGTTTGCTTCTGATGTCCTGTCATATCCAATGCATTTGATTGTATTCTAATTTGAACTGATAAATTGTGTCTGGTAAGATGACACTCTGTTAACAATAGTAATGAAATACTTCATTTCTTGTACACCTTTGGGTTGGGAAGTGTTGTGGCAACCTTTACTATTGGGGGTTTGAAAGCGCTGTCTTTTGAGTTGCACTTATAGTTTTATACCATACTTGCTATTACTAAATTTTTACATTCTTGAGAAAATTTCTTATTTAATAAGAGATTATGATTTTTAAATAGAATGTAGAAGATCTGGAAAATTTAGTAGTACCAACTGGCTTTTCAATGCTGATTAAATTTTCAAGCATATGTTTGTGACCATGTTGGTGTTTCTTTCCAGTGAGAAGCAGTTGGAGTGTCTGCTGACACACTGCGTTAAGGTGCCAATGCTTGTCCTGGACCCAGCCCTGCCGGCCAGCATCACGCTGAAGGACCTGCCAGCTCTTTATCCTTCCTTTCATTCTGCCAGTGACATATTCAACGTTGCAAAACCAAAAAACCCTTCCACTAATGTCTCAGTTGTTGTTTTCGACAGTACTAAGAGTGGTAAGATCTTCTTGCAGGTATTTCAAAATTACGTTATCGTCAGAATTTAGAATAACAAAATTTTGAATGGAACAGAAGTGATTCAATTTTAAAGAAATGCCTGATAAGCTAAAAATGTAAAAAGGGAAGCAAAAGAGCTGCCATTGTATTTCAGCCCTACTCTCGGAAAGGGAGTGCATGTATTTTACTCTGTGTAATAGACATGTCTTTCTGTACTGTGGTCAGGACCTTAAACCCGGTACTCACATTTACCTTTTTCTCTTGGCTTTGAGCTATTCTGGAGGCTTTTTTTTTTTTTTAACCCCGTATCACCTTCAGCAAGGTTGTTCTCCACCTTGGACTGACCATATCTGGAACATTCATACTTTTAAGTTCTGAAACATCTGATCGTGCATTTGATTTGGCCAGATAATAGAAGTAAATTTGAAATTCCTGGCATAAAACTGAACCTGCATTCTTCTAGATTCCATCCTCCCTCTTGGCCACTGAGCTGCTGAGCCCCAAGCCTGTGTCCCCTTCTCTAGGCTCTTATCTCTCATCCTTCCTCTGCACTGAGGGGCTCTCCCTGGAGGCTCTGATTTGCAACTTGTGTAGAATGAAAACTGTCATGTTCCCTTTGCAACATTGAGTCCTGTTCTCAAGCTCCCATTCTTTCAGTGTCTTATCTCCCAGCTTCAATCTTTGGAACCATCTTTGACCTGTTCTTACTTTTCAACCAATAATTAGCCTTATCCTGTTACTTGCTTTTTTTTTTTTTTTTTTTTGCTGGAATCTTAAGATTCTTACCTTTCATACTCATCTCATTTCCCCTATGCCATACTGAATTTCTCCCCCCAGCCTCCAGTAATGGGTGCCTCCCTACTCTGCCTACCTCTCAAGTCCTTCTCTAGTCTGTGCAGCACACAGCTGTAAACAAATTGGAAAACTCTGATCTTATCAGATCACTCCCTCTTTGAAGAGAGTAAACTAGTAGTATGTATTTGTTTTTCACAGGGATACAAACTCCTCTCTGGGTGTCCAGGACTAAGCTTTAATTGCCTTGGTCCTGCCCATCGACCCTGGCATCCCTGCCCTCCTTGCGTCTCCTCGCAGCCGTCAACATCTTCACACCTACGTGGTGCTGCTGCTCTTGTTCCTCTCCCCCTCCCAGCCCGTCTCCTGTTCCTTCCAGCCCCAGTTCAAGTTCTGTCCCTGTAAGACCCCAGACTAGTACATTCACAATGATTTTATTTTTGTGTATCCTTGTTGTACTTGTAACCTATCTCACAGCTTAGCTTTTGATTGCACAGTAGTTTATGGTGCTCCCATCTAATTTCTTACTGAGCAGAAACCTTATCCTCACCGGTCTGTATCCTGAACAGTGTCTAACATGGTGCTTGCTTCCTCGTACCTACTTGGTTATTTGTAATTTGAAAGAAAATCTTAACCTTTCCAAGCACAGATCTCTCTCCCTTCACACTAGAGACTTGTTTCTGAACAGTTTTGTATAAATAACTTATGTTTTTATATTTGTTATATTTTTAAATATAAAGGGAAAGTTAAAGGGTAATTTTTGACAAATTATATGATTTATTTTTTGGCTAAATTTAGCTTTGTTTTTTAAATTGAGAGTTTCCTTAAAGTACTTTGATAGCACTTCACCTGAAGAGAAAAAGGAATGATGTTACGTTAACAATTACAACTCAGTTATAACATCTATGGAGGGAATCTTGGGTTTTCCTCTACTAATTTCATAATACAGCAAAGAAATAAAGTTTGTAAATTTTGATAGAAGTAAAATCTATATTAAACTATAGTCTTCTAAACACTGTTTTTGAATTTCCACCTGGGTTTTTGTTTGACTGTCCTACTTAGTATATTGATTGATTTAGTAAAGATTTGCTGAGCCGCTGCTTTGAGTTGGTCCTTGTTCTGGGTCACAGGCAAACAGCAGAGAATAAAAAAGGCACATCCATGCCTTCTTGGAGGTCTGTGTTTAGTGGGCCACAAGCGCACTTTGTCTTCCTCAGTTAACTAGACCGAGGATTGCCAATTTCTTCCTTAAAGGGCCAGATAGTAAATATTTTAGGCTTGTGGACCAAGAGGCAAAACAGCAGATATTGTTTAGGTATTTATATAAACATTTAACCATTTTAAAGTTCAGAATTGTTTTTAGCTTGGGGCTGTACTACATCAGGCAGCGGCTAGATTTGGAGCCGTGGACTGCCAAATCCTGATGTAGGTTTAAAAATTTGTAGCCGTATTTGACATTTAGAAAACCCCCATTTAACCTCTTTCCAGGTAATACTGAGATCTGTTTTTTTTTTCCTTTCTGAAATGTGTAATTGCTGCTCCTCTTCTTATATTCCTGCCACTTCCTTTGTATCCTAGACTATTAGTTGGACAATACCTCAGCAGGTGAGGTGATTTTTGAGTGAAAATTTGAAGGAGGTGAAAGAACCAGCAATATGAATATGTCGGGAAGGAGAGAAAGAGCAAGGAAGCCAATGTGGCTGGAAGGAGAGAGGGCAAGAGATGAGCCTGGAGAAGTAACAGGGACCAGTGGTGCAGGGCCCAGTAGCCATGACTGGCTTTGGCTTTAAGTCAAAGCGTGATGAGAAAGCAGTCATTGAAGGGTTTTGAGAGAGGAATAATGTGATCTGAGTCATATTCCAGAAGGATCAGTCTGGCTGCTGTGGTAGGAACAGACTGTAGAGGGGTAAAAGTTGTAATAATTCAGGCAGGAAGGAAGCTGGCTTCGAGCAGAGTAGTGCTGAGAAGTGGTTGAATTGTGGACATTTTGAAGGTCTACTCAACAGGGTCTCCTGATGGGTTGGTAATTGGAGAATATCACCTTTCTTGTTCCAAGCCCTCTGCTTCTGTTTAAAAGCACAACATTGGGATGGAAATAGGTTGTGGTCACAGTGTTGTTGACTCATACTGAACTCACTGTCAATTAAAACTCCAGAGTCTCTACGAAATGCACATGTGCTAATGCGCAAGTACGCCTTTTACTTTTTTTTCCCCAATTTTCAATTTTTTCAAACACTCTTTATAATTTATACTTGTATAGCTGGATTCTGGTGCCAAGTTAAAGACCTTACCTTTGTAGGAGATTTTATTTTGCTTGATTTGACTAATTGCTCCAAATAGCTAGGCCTTTGGGGACTCCTTGGTCTGTGCCCCAGGGTAGCAGCTTCTCTCTCAGTGTCGTGTACACGCATTACACAGGCGTGCCTCTTGTACCTTCCAAAACCTTGATGGGCTGTTGAACAAGGCAGAACCTACAGCAGACCTCTGAAACTTCTCTCCAGGTTCATTGTGGCTTTTATAATTTCACATTCTGTGGTCAGGTTTGGCTCTGATCCACCCAGCTTGAGAGCTAGCCCATGTGTCTCCATTATATCATTAAGATGGCCTGAGGTGTTCACTGCCTTGCTGATAGTATGTATGAATGTGTGTCCCTCATCTGTGAGAATTCTCTGATCTACCAGCGTAGAGTCCACCATGTCAGTGGGGAGAGACAGACAGACAGACAGACAGGAACATAGAGGGGTATGTGTCGTATGAATTTATTCATAATAAACTCATGCTCCTGGTGCTCAGAGCTTCCCTTAAAAAACCATCAGTATATTGTGAAGGCTTTCTTTTCTCCACTTCCCACCAATATTTTTATGGTATATTTGAGACTCTTGCCTGGGATTGGCACCCACCTTACAGGCTATAATCAGTAGACCCTGCTTTTTGTGCCCATTTTGCAAATCGGAATTGCAGCCTTCTGATCTCTCCTGTTTTCCATGATCCCCAAATGTCAGCAGCAAATTTGTGGATCTCATTTGTCCCTATCACTTTAGAGCTCTCTCCCAGTAGGGGTGTGTCATCACCCTCTTTGTTCCCCAGCTTAATCTCTCTGCAGCATTACTGATAAATCTTAGGAATTGACTCTGACTCTGGAAGAACCCTAGGATCTGTCTGCAGTGGCCCCTGGCTGTTAATCTAAATGCCACTGTCCTGGCTCTCAGGGGCCCCCTTCTTCTGGTTGCCCTTTTCCCCTAGTACCTGCCACTCCCAAATGTTTCATTCTAGTCAGACAATTCTTTTTGATTAAACATGTTGATGTTTGCTCCCAGCTCTGTGATTTCTGTCAGCTTGCCATTTCCACATTTCTGCAGCCCACGTGACTGCTTCAGTATTGCAAAATTTAACATTTAATTGCACAGTGATTTACGTTGCTCGCATTTTGTTGGATAGGTTAATTTTGTCTCCCTCGACTGTATTTTTTAGAGACCATGGATTAGACTACTTTAACAGCTCTCAAAATGCTTTGGACAGTGTCCTGCCAGACATCATAGTTAAGTATTCATTATAAATATGCTTGTTATATTCTGTGTTGCAGTTGAAGATGCCCACTCTGGAATGCTTAAAGGAAACAACAAACAGACAGTTTGGAGGGGCTATTTGGTATGTTATTTAAAATTAAGTGTATTTTTGCAGTAGACTAGAATAAAAGCATAAGTAATAAAGCTGTTTAATTCTGAGAGGCTTTTTCATGTTTGTTTTTTCTCTAAGCTTAGCTTTCTAGTATTCATGAATATTGATTTAAATAATCTTAACATTAATATTTTGAAGGCTTGTATGACGTAACAGATCTTTCCCAGTTTTCTCAGCTGTGAGTTTTCACCAGCCTCATGATGTGGACAGTGAGTTGTTTTTCCCCTTCCCATTTTAGACAACAGACAGAGAAGTTCCTGGGTTAGTGCTCATGCAGGATTTGGCTTTCCTGAGTGGATTTCCACCGACGTTCAAGGAAACAAATCAACTGAAGACAAAATTGCCAGAAAATCTTTCTCTTAAAATAAAACAGGTAAGCATGTAGAAGATAGAGCAGCCAGTACCACACATCTCGTTTAATGTGTAGCTCTGCTCCCGTGGCCCCTTTCGTTGTAGCGCAGCCGACACTCGTAAGCAGCAGAGGGTCTCTGCCCTGTTACAATATGTTGTGACGAAGACAAATCTTTAGCTTATAGAAGATCTTCACTTTTTACTCTTAATTGGGGCAAAAGCCTACGAGTCTCATTTGATTTGTCGGTTTCGCGGACAGAAGCAGGGTTCATGTGTTTAACAGACGAGCTTCTGCTGCGTGTCAGGCGCTGTTTTGACCCCTGAGGATGCAGCAGTGGGCGGGGCCTGCAGCAGTGGGCGGGGCCGGCGGGAGCCCTGCTGGCCGTGGGAGCGTGGGAGGAGGGGCGGGAGATGAGACCTGGGGCAGGTGCACGCAGGCTCCAGCTTTCACTGACCGAGGGGTGTGCTTCGGACATATGAGCATTTGATAATGTGAAACCTTCATTCATTAATAGCTAGGTGAGTCATTAACATATTTAAGGACGCTTAGTAACTTCACATTTGACCAGCGAGGCCATTTGTTGACCCTGAAGGCTGTGACATGTCTTTTCCTTAACATTGTTTTCAGAGCCGTTTTTCTGATTTATGTAGGGCACAGTTCGTGTGGGTATACTTTCCCTTTTTTTTCCCTCTTGGGTGGGGGTGGTAATTAGGTTTATTTATTTATTTTAATGGAGGTGCTGGGGATTGAACCCAGGATTTCGTGCATGCTAAGCAGGCACTCCACCACTGAGCTGCACTACACTAACCACCCCTCACCCCCATGCTTTCCTTTTGACCTTGTGTCAAAATCCCTGCTGTTCTGTCAGAAACAGGCTGTGAAACGTGAGTGTTTTTTTCTTTTAGAATAGAGGGTGTAAAGTTCTTGCCTCAGAATTTGTTAGACTCGGCTTTTCTTGATTTTACAGAGAAATGTTCTTTAAGTTCTGCCACTGTGTTCAGCTTCCTGATTCTTCCTTCTGTTGATGTCACTTAACTGTTGCGAGGTGAAAGGGTAGAGGTGGAGGTCTTGGGGGAAAACTGTGACTGGGGGAGTTACTTAGTTCATATTTTGACCATGTTTTTTATGTGCCTGACAAAGTTTCCTTAACTTGTTTCTTTTTCCTCTTAAGTGTTTTACTGTTTTAAAATACTCTGTATTACCTTTGTAAGTACCACAGTAATATGAACGGCATTTATGTTTTTTTCCTTTTTTTCATATTTTCCTCCATAGCTTTGTTTATAGTACTTGGAAATACGGTACTGCCGAGCTACATTAGGGTTGAATTATTTCTTAATCTGTGGTTATTTAAAAATAGATATTATATTCTTCCTTCCCCAGAATTATTTTTAGTACTGATTTGGGCAGATAAAACCATAGATTAGCATTCATTTCAGCCACTGTTTATTTGGCTTCTTGACTTCCTAGCTGTTAGTTCTACAATTACAGACATATGTATCTGGACTTTGGATTGTTAGCTCAAATTCCTTGAACACAAAAAATGACAAGCTTGACTCTGTGTAACTCCAGTTACACTAAGTTTTTAGAGGAAAGAAGATTCATGACACTTCTCCATCCTCCGTTCAGTTTGACCAGCCCATGCCTCCACCGGCTGAAGCTGCTGACCTGCACATCACTGGTGGGTGGGTAGGTGTGTCCTGCCAAAAATTGGCAATCCAAGTCGTGGTCACAGTGTGGAGTGGTGTGTGCTGGTGGGGATCGGGTGGGGCAGACATGAATTGGACAGGAGCCCCAGCAGGCTCTGTGCATGAGGACACCCCTCCTCCATCATTCACCTGGTTGGAGATCGGTCTGGATTCCCAGCCTTGTCTTTGTGGAGGCCAGCACTTCCTCAGCGGGTCCAGCCAGTTATTCACAGTGTTTGTTACAGCTCCTTGTCACAATGTAGCACCGTTTTGAGAAGAGGAAACAGCTTGAACAGAGGCCTGGGGGCTTGCAAGTAGATGGTGTTTTCAGAAAATCGAGATATTTCTGGAGGCCAGAGCCCAGGCAGGGATTTTGCTGGTTCTTAGACTGGGAAGTTAGGCTGAGGCCAGACAGAAGAAGATCCCCTGATGAGGAGCCAGGACTTGGTCCTGGAGTCAGAGCATCTTGTGGAGGGTCCCGATCTGCCTCTAAGGAACATGGCAGGGAAGGTGTGGTCGGGAGACAATAAACAAAAAGCTGGAGGCAGGAAAACCAGTCTGGCCACTGCTGCCCCAACCCAGCAAGACATTCAGGTTCCACAAGTGCCTTGGCAGTGGTGCCAGTGATGAGAGTGGTTCCAGAACCATCTGAGAGAAACCCTCAACACGACATGGCTATTTATTAGCTGTTGAAGGACATGGAAGGAAAAATGAAAGGGGAAGTGGATGCTACCTGGTGGACCACACTCAGAGCTTCCTGGGAGAAGTGCGATTGTGGGAAGGAAACTCAGGGCTCAGTTTAGAGTGTTGCATTGGAGGTGCTTTGTCACACGTGGAGGGAAAGGCCGTTAGACATTGGGCTTCAGGACCTGAACAGCTGAACCACTGTACCCTCCCAGGCTCCTCCAGGGGGCCTTTGCCAAGACCTGTGGCCTTGGAGCCACCCAGGGCTCAGTTCTGTCCCAGAGACCCTCGCCAGGCTGTGAACATCTCAGGACAGGTACTGCCTGTTCGCCTTCTACCCCGGTGATCACCTCAGGGCCTGGCACCCGGGGGGCCGCTTGTTGAAATGCTTGTTGAAAGAATGAGCAAGAAGAAAGGCTGTGACTAAACACACTCACCACATGCAATGTCTTGGGATATAACGGGAAACGTTTCAGGGGTGTGATTATTTCAGGGAGTCACTTAGGTTTTTGGCACCATGGTTGTGTACATACAACTTGGCATTTATCATGCTCTTTAGAGCAAAACCAGAGTCTTTCCCCACCCCCAGCAGGGGAAGTGGGACTTGAAATTGGTTTAATTTGCAAGATAATAGATTCAAATTCATAAAAACTTTTCTGTGGACTATCGTCTTAAAAATCAGACAGTCTTTTCTGTTGGAAGCTTTCTAGTTTGAGATACTTGAAATGAGTCCTTTTACAATCGGATTAGTTACCCTCTAATTTATCTGTAAAAATTTTTAATGTGATGGACACAGACAGAATTCACCTTTTGAGCAATCAGATTACCCGTGGTCTTTATTTTCAGCTCCTTCTGAACATTTTGTGTTTTTAGACATTTTCATCCATGGTGAGTTTTTTCTTTTTTTTTCCTTCTTAATTTTTAAAATTATTTTGTTCACTTCTTCAATATGTTAGAGCAGGCAGAAAGTCTTCCCAGTGCTCTCAAGCGCATTCTCACGTTTGGTTTAATTCAGTGCAGAAGTGTAGGACATGCACTTATATTCAGGCTGTTTATGGTCATGTTTAGGAGGCTGTATTTGTGCATATTAAGTAGTCAAGTAGCAAAACAAGATAGTATAAAGTCAGCTAATCAAGGAGAGTAGTGTAAACTTTGAATTGGCATTTAGAGACAAGAAAGATCTGTGTGGATCAGAGACATGAAGGTTTTCAAAGAGGAGGCTGCATGGGATCCTTGATGCTGACCAGGCACTTTGTTTCTGCAGGCAGGACAGTGTGGGCGGGGTGGGACCAGCGTATTGTCTGACCTGGACTCTGACCCCCGAAACCTGTTCAAGGCACGTTCAAGTTCATAGCAAGTTGTAGTAATATTTATACTAATGCCCCTTCTTCCAGTGGCCTGAAACATCTTATGCACCTGCTCTTCTAAAGCATGGCACCCTTTGGGGCTTTTTTCCCCCTAAAGAAAGCATTTTGATTAAACAAGCAACTCTGGAACTGATTTAAGTTTTAGAAAACCACCAGGACATATTAAGATCTAGTCGCTTGAGTTGTCAAATTACTAGAAGGAGCTCTTTTGTTTTTCAGTTGTATTAGCTGACATGTTTTTTCCCTAAACTTATAGTACCATATAAAGGTGTATCAGTCACATCATTCTAGATAATGCTATAGTAACAAACATCCCAAAGTCTCAGTGGCTTAAAAATAGCAAAGCTTTATTTTTCGGTCACGTTACATGCCTGTTATGGGTCTGCAGGGGGTGGGCATAGCAGTTGTTTTCTCTTTGAGAAACTTACAATTGAAGGAATTTAGATAAACCTGTAATTTAAAGTACGAAACTATATATGGAGACAGTTGGCCTACAGTTACCCTAGCTAAGAACTCCAGCCTTAGGCAGTTACTACACCCACTGTCTCTTACCACCTCTTTCTCTTGGCAAAAGTAATTAAGGTGTCCGGGATTAGGGTGCCACCTAGTGGCTAGCACAGGATCCTTCCTCCTAACCCTTCTCACCACCCTGGACTTAGTTGATTATGGTGACAGAAAAATTTTTTCGTACATATAAATATTACTTTAAGCTCTTTATTTTTCCTCTCTTTTCCAATTATTGTAGAGTTACCTTAGGAAAGTGTCTGTAAAGTTTCCAAATAGTTTTCCAGAATAAAAGCAGTTTGGATAGGAGAGATTAAGATAAGGGTATTTCCCCAATACATTTAAAATTAAATTAGAATATTGAAGTACTGTATTTATTTATTCTAGAATAGTGATTTTTGCACTCCAGGGAGCCCTCAGAGGTGATGTGGGAGCCACTGTGGGAGGGGAGACTGAGGGTGGGCAGTGAGACTGTTAGGTACCCAGATAGAACAGACAGAAGGAGGTCCGCCCTGCATGGCCTGCCTCCCACCCGCCCTGCCGTGTACCGAGGCAGAGTGGTGACAGTGGTGACCTTGGTGAGTGCTTCGTGTATACCAGGCACTGTTAAGGTGAAAGAAGATAATCAGGAAGATAGCACACACGTGTGCTGCACACACGTACACCCACACACTTTGTGCTAAGAGTTAATGGCCTATGTAATAAAAATAGGAGGAGTATAAATGAAATTCTAACTCTGACCCGTTTTTGGCCTATATAGCTCGGGAAACTTTGAAAGATGAGCTAAATATAGTCATGTAGCATATATAAGAGCTCAGAATGAGCCCATAATAACTTGTGTTTGCTCTGTTTTATAAATTAAGAAAGAAGGCTAAAAAATTAAGAAAGAAACTGACTGTTAGAAGAGCCAGTTCAGCAGAAGGATGTGCTTTCCTGGATGCGTGGTTTTTGACTGTCCTTCCCTGCCTTCCCCACCTGAGTTAAGCTGAAGGCCTCTTTTCTTAGGAAATCGTATGATACAGAGTTAAAACATAAAATGTATCATTGATAGTGTGGCCTCTGGTCTATTGCATTCACTGGGAAGTTGTCTGGCCTGTTAGGCCTTCTTTATTTTTTTGGTGATATTGGCCTGCTATTTCATATACATATATGAAACTTTTAATCTTTTAAATATATGTAATATATATTTAATATGTGCTATAAATAGCATGTAGTATAATAGACAATATGTAGTGTGTATTACATATGTTTAAAGATCAATGATCAAACTGGGAATTTAATGTCTCTTCTTTGAGGTTCAGTTTTTCCACATGTTACCCTCTTGTTATTTTGTAGTTGCAGTTATATTCAGAGGCCAGTGTAGCACTTCTGAAGTTGAATAACCCCGAAGATTTTCAAGAACTGAACAAGCAGACAAAGAAGAACATGACCATTGATGGAAAAGAGCTGACCATAAGTCCTGCATATTTATTATGGGATCTGAGTGCCATCAGCCAGGTGAGGGTTGCAGAGATTCTTTTAAAACCCAAATTGAGGGTTTTGATTATTAAAGATTTATGAGGCACTGTATTAGAAGAAGGAAGAGGATTTATGCAGAGGTGAGTTGACTGGAACTCAAAAGAGTTAATACTAATTGAAGTGATCTAGAGTCAGATCCAAGAAGCTTTTCTTAAAAAAAAAAAGTGTGAAAGAAATGCTGTTTTGTGTTGTTTTAAATGTGTTGAGTCTTTTGCCTTTTTTATAATGTTTAAAAGTTGGACGCTGTCTTTGAAAGCTGGAGCTCCCTGGGAGTAGAGGGCAGAGGGGACGGTCGGGAGGGGCAGGTGTGACTTTAGGGGCATTTCACATTTTTATGCACCCAATGCTTTTCTCAGTCTAAGCAGGATGAAGATGTGTCTGCCAGCCGTTTTGAAGATAATGAAGAGCTGAGGTACTCACTGCGATCTATTGAGAGGCATGCGCCGTGGGTTCGGAATATTTTCATTGTCACTAATGGGCAGATTCCATCCTGGCTAAACCTCGATAATCCTCGAGTGACAATAGTCACACACCAGGTAGCGACTCCCATTTGTCACAAGGCTGTGGTCTTCTCCTCCGTCCTTTGCTGTTCTTTGTCTTATCCCTGATTTCATCCCCTTACCTTCCTCACCTCCGTTTCCACCTTCCTTTAACCCTTTCACTCGCCTCCCTTCCTCCCTTCTTTCCAAAAACAAAACAAAACAAACCTCTCATCTACCCTCTTTCACTCTTGTTTTGTTTGTTTTTATTTTTAAAGGATGTTTTTCGAAATCTGAGCCACTTGCCTACCTTCAGTTCACCTGCTATTGAAAGTCACATTCATCGCATTGAAGGGCTGTCCCAGAAGTTCATTTACCTGAATGATGATGTCATGTTTGGAAAGGATGTCTGGCCAGACGATTTTTATAGTCACTCCAAAGGTCAGAAGGTGAGTGCCTAAGAAGTGCCTGGCTTAGAAGTCCCTTAGAAGTTACAAATGGAAAATCAGGAAGTTGGTATACATACCATATTCAGATTTGATCAAACAAGCATTTTTGAATGCTAGTAAGCACAGGGGAGTTAACAGTTAGGGAGTGAGAGACTGCAGTAGGAACTTTGCTTCCCTGCATTCTCAGACACAGACAGAACCCACCCTCTAAATTTTCTGCTGCTACCATAGCAGAAAAAGCAAAATCACTGTGAAACACAAAATCGTGTTTACAATGTCTGCAAAATGCCCAAGATAGAAAGTTAGCTCAGTTTAGTGGTTAAAGACATGGATGGAATTTCATTAAAGGCCGACGGTCTCACTCTGGCTTTGAGAGGCAGGATGGAGAAGTGGTCCTGAGCACAGATGTGGGGGCCAGCTGTGCGGCACTGTCCTGCACAGTTTCCCATTTCCTGGCGGCTTGGTGGCGGCAATAGGAATACCCCAGTAGCATTGTTAGAAGGGCTCAGTGATCGGTTGGAGGTTTACACCGTGAGCTTCTAGGTTATGGAGCACTGTAGCTGCAAGTGCCAACAGCACAAAGCTGCTTTTCCTGTTGCTGTTTATGCAGCCCCCCGTGCCCATTCTCCTGTCCACATGTCTCCTCTGTGTTGGATTGTAGGGCTGTGGGGCTGAGCTGTGGCTTGACAGGGAGACAGACAAACTGGTGACTGTGAACAGTGATTTCTGAGACGGGACCATGCACGAATCTGCCCAGGAGTTAACGGCAGTACCACAGAGAAGCAGTGACTTGTGTTCATGTTTCCACCTGCTTCTGGCATGCCCTTGCACTTGCCTTAGGTCCTACATGTTGCCACTTAAATTTCTAAATAGATTATTTATAAGACCATGTTGTGAGACTGACCTGTAAGCGGAGTCCTGGTCTGCTTTCCTTGAGTAACAGAAAGTAAATGTACCTGACAAGACCCATCCACAGGGCAGGATTGAGAAAACTAGCGCAGGTCCAGGCCAGGATGCCCCTGAACTCACACCTTTTCTAGAGGCTCAGTTTGTTTTGTTTTGCTTTAAAAGGAATCCTAATTAAAGAATAAAAAGTGTCAGAAACCAGAAACCATTTTACTTTCCCTCTGGTTTCATCATAGGTTTATTTAACGTGGCCCGTGCCAAACTGTGCTGAGGGCTGCCCGGGGTCCTGGATCAAAGACGGCTATTGTGACAAGGCGTGTAACAACTCAGCCTGTGATTGGGATGGTGGCGACTGCTCTGGTGAGGATGTGCTCACGTGTAGTTTGTTCCTGTTGACAGAATTTTTTTCATTGGTTGTCACTGTCGAACATGTACAGTGACTAAATTAAATGTTTCTTCATGTAGGGAAACAACCAGTAATTCATAGACTCTTTGGAGGTGATGACTGGTGTTCCAATGCTCGGTTTATTCATACTGTCATTGTTAGGGACGTTTTCCCACATTGACCCTGCACTTGAAACTTACTATTCAAAATATGAAACTCAGTTGTACCCTTAATTACGTGAGCTCAAAGTCAAGAGCAAGAATCACTCTAACTGGTTCTCAGAGGAGCTCACGGCTGGGGGCTCTCTCTCCCTTTCTTGCACTCTTATATTTGGCCTTGTTGATCATAACAAGTTTTTACATTTATTTGTTGCCTTTCAGTTAAAAAGCATTTAAAGATATGAATCATCATCCATTATCCGCTTGAATTTCTTAGTCACCGAAGAAAGAGCTGTCATCGTCCCCCTAGTCCACGTGAGGGATCACACTTGGGGAAGTGTTGAGTGTTGAAAGAAACAAAACTGTTAAGTTGTGCTTCAGTCTGATCTGTCAGAGGCACTTTTGAAAAACACAAACAGCTGCAGGGAGAGAACGCAGACACTCAAGAGAGCCCGGGGAGCTGGGCCCCTCCTAGAGCAGTAGCACTGGATAACGAGGTTTGCACTTGTGTTGGGACGTGTTTTTGGCGGTTCTGAGAGTCTCGGTCTTCAGAATAATCTTCTCCTTCACACACGCCTACACCTGCCACCGTGAGCAAGTTTGAAGCCTGTCCTTCTAGGTTGCACAGCTGGGAAGTGCCAAGGCCAGGTCTTCCCAGGCCCAGTCCGCTGTCAGGCGACACCCCCTTTTCAATTTGTTTTCTTTTTAAGCAACATGAAATCTATGAAAGAATGGGGTGAACCTTTTCTGACAAATTCATGCATCAAGCTTGAAAACACTATTAAGAAATAAGGAAGTGGCTTTTTTTCAAGATTGTAGGAATGGCAAGCTCTGTTTTCCTCCTCCTCCTGCAGGGAACAGTGGAGGGAGTCGCTACATGGCAGGAGCCGTGGGTACCGGGAGTTTTGGAGCTGGACAGCCCTGGCATTTTGGTGGAGCAATAAGCGGTGTCTCTTACTGTAATCAAGGATGTGCCAATTCCTGGCTCGCTGATAAGTTCTGTGACCAGGCCTGCAATGTCTTGTCCTGTGGGTTTGATGCTGGCGACTGTGGGCAAGGTATATTTATTGCCGTTAAAAAACATACTTAGAATAAGAGGATAACAATCCTTGGTAAATAGAAGGGGTTTGGATCATTGCTGTTACTTAAAGTGATTATTCTCTATGTATTCCTTTCCCAGCCTTTCATCCAAACTAGTTGTGAGTGAGTTATAAGTAAGAGAAGGACACTGGTCTTTAGAAAACAGTAGGCACTGAAGGTGTATCTTTTCCTGTTACTGCTTCAGTTCGATTTTTTTTTTTTAAGCTAAGCATATTGAAAATGTTTGGTGAAGGTCTGATTTGGAAACAATAAAAGGAGACCAGTAATTAGTTAAGTAAGCATGGTTTGAAAACTGGATCTTGTTGATAGCTTATTAATGGAGATCAGTGGAGGTCCTTTTTGGCAGAAAGTAGTATTTTTTTCAAGTGGACAAGAGAGCTGGAAGTTGATCGTTGGAATTTGCTGTCCAGAACTGTGCCGTATCTCTGTAGTGAGTCAGCCTCAACATTCCATGTCGTTAATAGTGATTGCTTCAGGGAATAAAATGAGCCCGATTCCAGTAGGTTTTGTGTTAGAATTTCCATTTTGAAGTCCATTTAAAGTCACTCTTAGAAAGTGAAAACTCAAACCCCAAGAATTAAAGGAAAAGAGTTTGGAAAATGCCTGGTTTTTAAACAGTCATGTTTGTGTTTTTTTCTCTAGATCATTTTCATGAATTGTATAAAGTAACTCTTCTCCCAAACCAGACTCACTATGTTATTCCAAAAGGTGAATGCCTGCCTTATTTCAGCTTTGCAGAAATAGCCAAAAGGGGAATTGAAGGCATCTATAATGACAACCCAATAATCCGACATGCTTCTATCGCCAATAAGTGGAAAACCATCCACCTCATAATGCACAGTGGAATGAACGCCACCACAATACATTTCAATCTCACGTTTCAAAGTACAAATGATGAAGAGTTCAAAATGCAGATAGCAGTGGAGGTTGACACAAGGGAGGAGCCCAAATGGAACTCTACGACTCAGAAGCCTCGCCAAAATTTGGTTAGCCCAGCACTTCTTCCAGAGGCGGAGGTCCTGTTTGAGGATATTCCCGAAGAAAAACGCTTCCCCAAGGTCAAGAGACATGATGTTAACACTACAGGAAGAGTCCAAGTGGAGGTGGAAATTCCGCTGCTCAATATTTCACTCCTTCCAAAAGAGGCCCAGTTGAGCCTCAGCAACTTGGATTTGCAACTAGAACGTGGAGACATCACCGTGAAAGGATACAACCTGTCCAAGTCAACCCTGCTGAGGTTGTTTGTGTTGAACTCGAAGGATACCAGGTTAACAATAAATCATGCTCTAATGACAGATCAAAGAAATGACAGTTTGGAGGCCCCGCTGGAAAAACAGGTTCACAGAAGCAGCTTACCGAGCATCATGGGAGCATCTGAAAGACTCCAGGGGTCGCCAGCTTTTCCAGCAGTGACAATAGAAGTGAATGGCCGCTCCCAGAGTCAGACTCCACCCCCGAACCTAGAAACCGAAGCAAGATTCCAGTCTAAAACCCTGACCCAAAAAGTAGGAGGCGGAAGTGTGTTAAAAGAAAATCTCTCATCTCTGATTGTCACACTGGAAAACAAGGAGACACAAGAAAAGATAATCGCAGGCAAAGAAGAGAAAAACAGAATGGAGGAAAACGCTAACAGTTACCTAGGTGGTGATGAAGTATTACCTGGAAGAAAACTGCAACATTACACAGACAGTTACCTGGGCTTTTTGCCGTGGGAGAAGCAAAAGTATTTCCAAGATCTTCTTGATGTAAGTTGCACCCAGACTTATTCCTTCCCTTGCTCAGGAAAAATAAGTAACCTTGTAAGAGGTACTGATGTAATAATTGCTACCATTTATCCCGCACTTCCCAGTGCCTGCCACTGAATTCGGTGCTCTTCTTCTGTGGTTTCATTTAATTGTCCAAATAATTCTAACAATAAGAATACCTTATAAGGGTCTTTGCTATTGTTATCCCCATTTTGCAGTTTAGGAAGCAGCCTTCGTGTGATGAGTAAGGGATTCAGCCAGGGGCGTACCTGAGCGTGCAGTAGAACCGCGATGGTCTCTCATCTTTACTTGGCGTGTGTGATTTCAAAGAATGTTTTTGCATACATTGCACAAGTCGGATCTGACATTTTTTCAACTTTACTGATGAAAAACCTGAGATGCAGATGAATTGGTTAGCTTTCCCAACATTGCGAGAGCAGGTGTTTGTGAGCCAAGCCTCCAAGCTGGAGCGCTCTCCCTCCTGTACCACAGCTTCCACGGTGCCCTGGTGGCCTTTGTACGTGTCACCAGTGCCGTCACTGCTACCTGCTGGGGAGCACAGGATGGTCAGAACAGTCACTGCTGTTGAACACTCAGGGCAAGCTGGGAGGATGGATTTGTGGGCAGATAATCATAGCAGTGTGATAAGTATCTCTTAAAGTAGGCAAGGGATCCAAGAGGAAAATCTCTTAACTTTGCCTTGAGGTATTGGGAAAGTGACCCAGGAGGAAGTGCCTTATGACCTGACCTCTGACGGGTGCGTAGGAGTTGACAGACTGAGAAAAGCCATGTGGTCTAGGCTGGATCGTGAACACAGCACAGCCTCGAGTGGATGTTAGGCTGGGGCAGAGCAGTGAAGAGGGGGTCATGTTGTTACTCTCACTGTCTTCGGAAAGTGTCTTGTCCCTGACGTGGCAGGTGTTTACTAACTCTTGAGTGAGGGACTGCAAAACTTACCTATGTTGATTTCCTCACCCCCCCACTCCTTTCTTTGTTTCTTTTTTAATTGCAAATGCACTATAGGCTAGTGGTAAAAATTGCAAGCAATGCAAAAACTAAAAACAAACAAAAGAAAAGGAAAGTTCTCTTTCCTTCCTTAATCTCCCCACTTGAGACAATCACTATGAATGTTTAGTTTGGTGGGTATTCTTCTAGTATTTTTGTGTAGATATGCAAACATATAAACTATATAGCTTATTTCTCCACACTCTAACCAACACCATTTAGTATCAGTCTGTATTTGCATCAGTTTGAGAAGCAAAAATATTTCATCTTCTGTAAACTGTGTTCATGTTCTTTGTTAGTATTTTTTACCCATTCAGTTTTGCCTCTTACTGGTTTTGATAGGGTTCTTTACATTCCGTAATATTAACAGTATTATATGGTGAAAACAATTTTGTGTTCTAGTCTTTGTGTTCAGGACTCAAGGACTTGCTGCTTTGATGGCACGAGTAGAAATAACTTGATATTGAAGGCACTATCAAGTTAATTGTAAATCAATTTTCTAAATACTACATTGAAATGGGCAATACAATCTTGTGGCCATTGACCTGTCCTTGAAGAATGCCCTGTGAGTAGACCTCCACCCCACAGCTGTTGTTCTCAAGCCAGTGTTCTTGATACTTCCACTGAAATCCAGTTCAGTCCTGCTCGCTGTTGTTAAGGTTACCTGTTAGTGCTCATTTCATTTGCTCCCCACATGATTGGTTATTACATAAAGTGGTGCCCCTGTCTCTTGTTAACACAGGGCACTTGTGCACTTAACATAATGCTGTGTTGCATGGGATTCTCTTTTCAGGAAGAAGAGTCACTGAAGACACAACTGGCGTACTTTACTGACAGCAAACACACAGGGAGGCAACTGAAAGATACGTTCGCAGATTCCCTCCGCTATGTAAATAAAATTCTAAACAGCAAGTTTGGATTCACATCTCGGAAAGTCCCTGCACACATGCCCCACATGATCGACCGAGTAGTTATGCAAGAACTGCAAGATATGTAAGTCTGGTTTGCGTTTGGGTCGTCTGCATGTGCTCAGAGCCAAGGCTGCTTGAACTCTGCGTCTTTGCTGTGCTGCGTTTATGGTCTAACAGTTGATGACTGATGTGTTGAAGGTATTATCTCAATAAATAAGTGGGAAGAAAGATTCTAACTCCACCAATGTTAGGTGCCATATATATTTTAAATATCCAGATCTCATGCTATGTTATGTTTGTACAGGTTCCCTGAAGAATTTGACAAGACATCATTCCACAAAGTGCGCCATTCTGAAGACATGCAGTTTGCCTTCTCTTACTTTTATTATCTCATGAGTGCAGTTCAGCCGCTGAATGTATCTCAAGTTTTTGATGAAGTTGATACAGACCAATCTGGTGTCTTATCAGACAGAGAAATCCGAACGCTGGCTACCAGAATTCATGATCTTCCTTTAAGTTTGCAGGTATTGTAATTTTTTTTCCCCCACTAAACTTGGTGACATTTTAAATGAAACTGTTAATTTTAAATTTGATACTTTCTCTTTTCCCCTACGTACTTCAATGTAATGTAAGTACAAGTGGCTCTTGACATTTAATGAGGGTGTTCACAACTAGTCCATTTTTCATGCCAGAATTAAAATAAAATTTGAAGTTGGTATTTTGTAAGATAACTTTTTTTTAAGTAATCTTTACTTTTCAGTAGGGATTTCTATTGTATTGTTTGGAGGAGAGGCAGACCATACCTGCGTATAAGATTCTCGTGAAGAGTTCATTTAGGAATTGCAGGTGTGGCTGAGTGGGGGTCTCAGCCAAGCCCCTGCTGCTGCACGGCCGCCTCTGTCGTGGCATCCCCCCATCCCAGGAGTAGGAGACCCACTAAGGGAGAGTGCCACGATGGATCCAACTGCAGGACGTCCCAGCTGGTGGTTCCCTGGACCACCTTGTGTAAAATGGTGCCTCACAGTCCAGTATGCTCTGCTGTGAGACAAAGATGAGTTATTTGTATGGTCTCATTCTGCTCTTCTTGGGGTGTCTTTAATAATCATATAATCAAACCCTCTCTGAAGATAGCACTTCAGTTTTGGTGACTTTAACATTTTTAAAACCACCATCATTAATTGTATATAAAAGGTTTGTCTTTTTATTTTGCTTTGCTAGGATTTAACAGGTCTGGAACACATGTTAATAAATTGTTCAAAAATGCTTCCTGCTAATATCACTCAGCTAAACACCATCCCGCCAACTCAGGAAGCGTACTATGATCCCAATCTGGTGAGTAGCATGGGTTCTTTTATGTAAAACAGAAAGTATATTCTAATTGAGTGTTACATCATTTCTGTATAGCACTTCAGAAACTAGAAGCAGGTTCTATGTTTACAAGTCTTTGGTGGAAATTAGCATGATAATCCAGAATCACTTGACATTTTTCTTTGGAATCTCTTTTCTCCTCCCTGATGGATATTAAGCTAATATTAAGACTAACTTCTTATATTCTATAAGCAGCAACTATTCACTAAAGATGGCAGAAGATAGTTCCAAAGTATTCTCATTGGCTCAGGAGAACAATCTTGAGGCTAAAATATTAACCTAGGAAATATTCGTCAAAAGGAATACATACCATCTTTCATCAAAGCTAAGTTGCTTTGATGCTTTCTTGGGTCTTACCAGGAGGGGCAGTGGAGGATCTACACACAGCTGTATTACAGAGTACCCCTTGGCTGAAATGATTGACTGTTGATGGTAAGATGCATTCAGGGTCAGAGAAATGATAATGTGGGGAAAAAATTGTGCATTTAGAATTGATGGGAAAAGGATATAGTACAGCCATTTATGTGATGCTTACAGTTAAATTTTACTGATATATATGGAAAATTGTTTACAAAATAAAATTAGGTGGGGGGAAAATGGGTAGTGCCATATACAAAATATGGTTTAAACTATGGAAAACTCCCAAGTAAAAAACTTCACACACAAACCCCAAAAAGTAATGGAGATGACAGTAGGTTAAATCATAGGTAGTTCTTAATATCTTTTTTGCATGTTTCCATATTTTCTCTAATGAATAGGTTTCACTTTCATAACCAGAATAATGTTGTTTCCAAAAATTTACCATCTTGCAAATGTTCAAGCCATATGATTAATTGCAGATAAAATGTTTGTAAATGAATGTAGAGAAGAGTAATAAATCAGTTAAAAATCTGATTCCTGAAAAAGGGAATCACTCATTTAGCACTCATTATACACGTCAGGGACGGTATTCCTCACCCACGTTCTCAGCGGGCCCTGTGAAGCTCGGGCACGAGGAGGCAGCGTGAGGGGCAGCAGCCGTTGGCGAGAGAGGTCAGCACCACAGCTCTGGGAGCGCACAAACTAGGATTGCTGATTGTGCGTAGGTTAGTTTAGCTTGTGACATGGTTTGGTGTAGATACGTGACACTTAAAAGCCAATTCTCTGAATACTCTAAAACTTGAAACTGTGAAATCAGTAAAATTGAGATAAATAGAAGAGTAACACCTGGTGTCAGTCCTAAGCGAGTTTGCTCTAGTAAGATAACAGACATGAATCAGCAGGTAGACAATGAGGCTCTTTCTGGATTGAGGCTTCACGGGACGCCTCATGTGGAGCTGATATGCAGTCCGGCTGATAACCCAACAG